TAAAGTGTATATCTATGGCAGGAAATAGCATGCATATTACGTCATTTCCATTAAATCAGTGTCAGAAGGTCTTGAAACAATATTATCATTTATCGCAATAATTTTTTAGACAATTAATCGCTCAGCAAAATTTGTTATCGTGACAGGCCTAATCACAATGATATTGTCCAAAAGGTTTCTACATCCACATGCACCAATTGTGGTTTCCTGGACAGCCACTGATCTTTAAAAAGCTTGACTTGTCAATTCTGATTTTTGCAGACACCAAAAATCTGCAAAAATTAGCGACTTTTCATAAGAAAAGTCGTTAAGTTGGCAACATTATGGGGACTATTGTTAATCACACATGTGCAGACGTGACCCGGTTGGCTGGTCTGTCAGTCAGCCCTCTCACATGCCGTGTTTGATCATGTGATAGTGATATAGTGCAGGATTTGGGGGAGTTTAACTGTAGCAGGTAAGTTACCTCATATGGGTGGTCGTTTTTTCAATTATATATATGCTAACATATAATCGGTAAATCTTGTTTATTGACAATATCAAATATCAGCCCAAATTTTCACATCGGTGAATTCCTACTATCCCAACAACTTGCTGCTTCTTTCTGTCCTTTGTACTAAGACTGAATTGGGTAAGAAGACTTCTGTTCACCTTGCTGCTTTGTCCTGGAACTTGTACTAAGAGAAAACTTTGATTTCAATTTACTTCACTGAGTGTTTTTACCAGCCCCCCTCCCCTAAACTAAAAGCTGTTTAGGTCAATCCAATGACATGCACCTGCTTTTCATAGTTTGTTGTTTTCTTTTAACTGTCTTGTATGTACATATAGATATGTGTGTGTTTTTTGTTGTGATTAAGATGCAAGGTGTGAATTAAATTTTCATAAGGATGAGGAATAAACTGGTACTGGTTATGGTTAAGGTATTCCTGTCTATACTAGTCATGAATGTTGTTAGTAAAATGAATGGTAGTCAGGAAGTTCTCAGTTGGACAGAAGTACAAGGATGTGTGCTTTTGTGTAAACCAAATGAAAACAGATTTTTTTTTAATGCATTATGAAATGTATGTAATTTTAACAGCCTAAAAATGCCTCATCATAACTCAATAATGTTCGATGCCGTAGAGATAAGAATACGTGTTTAACAGAACTTCTCATCATTCATTTAATTTGAATTATTCAACTGACCGACTATTTCTCATTAAATTACTAACGCATTAACAATAAACAAGATGAGTTACATAAATGAAGGAAAAGGTCCAGCTGACAGGTCGGCCTAAGTTTGGTCCAGCTCTAACCAGAATTAATTTAAAATTCTCCATCTGTGTGACAGTATAGCGCTTACTTTCGCAGCTCTCTCTCTTCCTCCCATTTCTGTTGCTTCAGGAGCTTCTTTTTCTGCCTCTTGGACAGGGTCTGGTTTCCCGGGACAACATCTCCAGTGTCGCTCCTGCTCTCACTCCTCTGCTTTGGGGTAGCTGCAGCTTCCCCGCTAACATCCGCCATCTGAGACCCGGTGACTGATGGCTGCCCGCTGAGGTGGCCGGCCGGCCGGCTCAATGACGGCTAACTGGATGGATTCACTGACCGCTCAAGAGTCCTGTAAACAATTTAAATCACTGCAATAATGGAGAAAAACAGTATAACGCACACCCTAACCAACGCACGTCTCTGCCAGACACATGATGTCATTTGCGCATATGTGACGTCAGTCAGGAGCGACTGACGCCTTCAAGAACATAAGAATTCCCACTTTAGATTTTAGACAACCCCAGTGTGAAAATTTTGATAAACATAAATAATTAGAAACGTCTACATGGAGTTTAAAACAACGAAAAGCTATGCTAACTTTGCGTTATTTCTCAAGACGAGAAATAAAACAAACGTGAAAAAAAATCTACTCTATACATGCTACGTTCGAGGACGTTCGAATTTTTTTAAACAAAGAAAAAATGTCATTCACTTTCAAAATAGTTGTCCAAAATCAGGAACTTCAAATGGTTTCAGTCATATCGCTCAAATGTTTTGTCCCGAAATGTCAGAAATTGACTTCTTTGTTGTGGTTTACATAAAAATGTAAGATTGGCTTATTCAACCAAAACGTTACATGTTTTACTGTAAAAAATGTTCTCACCATTAAAAACAGCTACAAAGAGTGCCCCATGAGAAAAAGATATTCTGTGCATAGCCAAAAAAGACAGCCCCTAAGAAGAGAGGCAATGAACTCTAGTGGTGGGGCAGCACCAACTACATACTTTCTGGGGTGTATGCGAACATGTAATCCCCCCCCCCCCCCACTCCCCAGGTTTAATACGTCCATACAGCTCGCCCTTATAAATATAGTAATTAAATTAAAGCCATCATGTTATTTAGGTACTTTTTGCCTCCATAATGTAATTATTCCTACTTGATCGCATCACTTGCCTCCTCCCTCCTCTTTCACTGACCTCATGTCTATCTCCTTCACCCCTTGTCTGTAGTGTTCTCCACTAAGTCATATGGTCAAAAAAGCATTATATATTAGATGTAAAAATTACAGATCTTAATACAGCTTTTAAAAATAATGTTAAAAAGTTTTGCTTTGGATCAAGTAGCTGTTCCCTCACTTCCACCTAATATTACACCAACCTGTTGCCTTCCCCTGTCTGTTCTGATTCTTCCTTGTCATCTTCTCTTCTTTCTCTCCAACCTCACAGCTGAATGACATTAATTTTCTGTTAAGTCTATAGGTTTAAAAGAACACAGCAGTCAAACCACTTAAAAAGGAAACTTTAATTTAAATTATGTCCTTGTTGTATAACAGTTACTAAGTGGACACTGCATCTGATCTGACTTATCAGATACATCACAACACCATTGAGTAAAGACATTTAAACTGAAATGTCCCCCTGCCAAGTCCTAGAACAAGGGTCACCAAACTTTTTGAGTATAAGGGCTTTAGTGACACTGAAGACTAATTTGTTTGATACACACTTACAAACTTGTACAACTCATCTTTAATTAAAGTATCAATAATAACAAATGTACATATGTGTGAATAAATTGCAGGCTAGAGGGCAATTAAAAAAGAATGAAACAAAAAATAGGGCAATGTGAGCCAAAGAGCCACTTCCAACAGCAGGCACGTGCAGAGGGGGAGGGAGACTAGGGAGGCTTGAGCACCTGCCCCTTTTGCTCCTTGCCCCAAAGTGCCCTTTTGGTCAATTATTTATTTATTTATTTATTTATTTATTTATTTATTTGTATAATTATTATTTCCTAAGCCCTACTCTGACACATAACATGTACTAAAATTATTTGTTTTTTTCTTGTTTTTTTTTTTTGTATTTTGCAAGAAAAACAACTTTTTTATCAAACTTTATTTAAACAAGGTAAGTACAAACAAGAAAGGCAAATACAACAGTGCAACTCTGTAGAAGGCATAATAGAGGCATATTTCAAAATGGAAATACAAAGATTGTTGAAAACAAAAATAATAATAACATATTATTATTATTATTATTATTATTACAACAACAACAATAATAATAATGAAAATAATGAAACAATGGCCAATTCCATTAATAATTCAGTCGGGTATTCAAATGATCCAATACATTTC